ATATGGAGTATCCACTAGGAAAGGCTCTGAGGACTATAGCTGGAGAGAGTAGTACAAATGATTAACAGAAATGTCTGGATTTAGCAATGTTAATAATGACCAAAGGAACATCAAATACTACTTATGTGCAATGTAATTGCAGTTGCAGGGGAAACTGCTTAAGGACACAAGCTTGAAAATCTCATTTCCATCAGCAGAGGTTGTACCTTGACTCTAGTATAGTTAAAAGTAAACTCTATGATGCCTGTAACTGGCAGATGCAAGCAAAACAAGCTCTTTCCCTGTATTTTCAATGTATGTACTGTGCGTGTGACAGCTCTTGTGCCGGGTCAGTGTTGCTGGGCTGTTGGCCCATTGCAATTCCTATCTCATCATTAGCATAGTGAGATCACTGTTCTGCAGGGAGAGCATGTGCATGCTCTGTCTCAAGGACTAGGGGAAAGCGTGAACCGATAGCAGCAGCAAAGCTGAAACAGAAGAGGCAGCTGGTAGGTGTACACTCAGAGGAAAGGAGAAAGCCCAAGCATGTTTGGAGACCACCCAGAAGGCTTTTCTAAATATCAACAGCAGAGCAGTAAACCTTTACAGTGTTTCTTAAAATAGAAATTTTCCAATAATTCGGCCATATAAACTGAAGGGAGATCCTACAGGAAAACTGTTTTTTGCAGTTAGTCAAGTTTAAAAAAAAAAAAAAAAAAATCAAGTTGACAGTGTCCCTTTTAATTACTGGAATTTCCTAACTCTTGAGAGCTTGACTTTTCCAACTTAACATGAGAATTTAATTTAAAGCACTGCACACCTTCCAGCTTCTGCCATAACTGAGGCAGGGTTCCTGCAGATGACAACTTCATTCACTGCCCAGCTCTGGTTCATGCACAGAGCATGTTCCATCCTGAGCACCAAAGCAGGATTTCTATGGAAAAAACAGTATGGAATCATGTAACTAAAGACTCTGTGACAGTGCATATGCACAAGGGAGATTAATTAAGGCTGCACAAGCAACCTTAATTCTGGCATTTCCTAACTTATAACTGCTTGACTTTCATTCTTTTATCATAGTTCTTTGCGTGAAAGGAACTAGGATTTTTATAAGGAGCACATGGAGTGTGGGGGTACACATTCCATTATGTGGAATCAGATTGACCACAGCAGTGTCGTCTGTGGGGTCTGAATGCAGGAACTTCAGATCACAGCAAAGACCTCTTCCCCTTGAGCTAAAGAAATAACTGGTAGTATTAGTAAGCTATTCTCCTCTGCAGACTAGTCACTCTCAGGAAGAGGACGCATGTTTGCTAGGCATCAGAAAAATGTTGAAAATCAGGATTTATAGGTTCTGTTTTTGGCTTTGGCGGTCCAGTGGTTATAGACTGCATAGCCAAGTACACATTTGGCAGATTCATTCTGAGCTTCATTGTAGATGAGATTTAAATCTGCCATATTGGAGACCTTGATTCTATTCTTATCTCTGCTTGAAGTGTGACCCTGTGCAATGTCTGTAACTTCATCTGTAAAATGGGGGAATATTAGCTTGCCTTACAGGGTAGGAGGTCTGAGGCCTTGTTCAGTATTGAGGGTTGTGAAGTGCATAGGACCAGGCAGTGAAAGAGCTAGTTTTTGTTTAGCTTTTTAAAAAAAAAAAAAACTTTTTAATAGTTGACAAAACTGCCCATTTTTTCCCCTAACCTTGTTCTTAAAACTGGCTGATGTTGTTGAAAGTTTTAAAATAAATTCAATCTGAGGCAGAGAGCAAGGTTGAAAGTTTGTCAAGATAGTTAGGCTTGAACTTGTGCTCTCTTGGCTCCAAGGCCAGTGTGCACCCTCCTAAGCTAAAAGATATTTTCATGTGGTAGATGGGCAGGCATTTCCCTAGGCTACAACACATTTTGAGGTGGCTGGCTGCTCACCAACGCTTAGGAGCATGAGCAATGCAATTAGAATACTTAGAATATTAAGGAGCAAGAGAAGAACAAGGTCTGCTACATGTGTTGCAGTGGGTGATTTTCAGAGGCCAAATATCTATCGGTGTCCATGGGGTAAAGCATCTCTCAGGATGACCCACCTGCCAAATTTCAAGTTCCTTCTCCAAGCCAGGGAGGAGCTAGAGTTGTTTAAAAAGTTTAATATTTTTTAATAATTGACAAAACTGCCCATTCTTTTCATAACCTTAAAAATGGCTGATTTTTGTTGAAAGTTTTAATATAAATTCAGTCTGAGGCAGACAGCAAGTTGAAAAGTTTTAGTCAAGATTGTTAATGTTGGATAAAGGTTGAAGTACGTACTATCAGAGATTGAAGTGTCAGAAGAGGTGCTAGGGCAAGTTGGTAATTTTAAAGAGCAGTAAGATACCAAGCCCAGTTGGTACATCCAAAAGTTCTGAAGAAGCTTGAGTATGAAATGACTGAGCTGCTAACAATGGCAGGTGCTTGTGCATGTTAGGATACAGAAGGAATGGGATGGAGAATAATGCTGCGAATGTTATAATGTCATTATATAAATCAATCTGGATATTGTGTGCAGCACTGGTCACTTCATCTTAAACAAAGATGATAGAAATAGCCGGAGCTCAGAGAAGGCCAGCGTGAATGCTTAAGGGCCTGGAAAATCTCATTTGAAAAGATTGGGATTGTTACCTTGGAAAGCAGATGAATAAGAAGGGATGTGATAAAAGTGCATAAAATAATGAATGGTCTAGAGAAAGTAGATTGGGAACTTTTGTTCTCCCTGCCTCCTAACACAAGACCAAAGGGACATTAAATGAAACATGGAAAAAAGAAAATATTTTTCCACACAGTGCATAATTAGACAGTGGAACTTGCTGCCACGGGATATTGTTGAGGCTAAGAAATTAAGATTCAAAAAGGGATTGAACATACATGAATATCTGAAGCTGCTATAACTAATTCTTACAAAAAAGGCATTGCAGTGGAGATAAAGCCTCAGTCATTAGCATTTAAGCCACTCTCCAATGATCAGGGATGAGGAGACCTTCACTGGGGGAAGATTATGCCTCCTCTGTCTACTCTGGGGTTCTTGCACCTTCCTCCGAAGCAGCTAATGCTGGCCACTGTCATACCCAGGGTACGGGGCTAGATGGGCCACAGGTGTGATCCAGTCTGGCAATTCCTGTATTCTTAAAGTTTGTCAAAATTATAAACAGGTTTATAATGTAAGGTGTTGAACAATCTTATCTCTCGGTACCACAGTGCACTCAGCCATGTTTGTGTAAAACTGAAAATCTCTGAATATAATAAAGCCTCAAATCTCTGGCCTACATATGTGCAATATGGCCAAGTTTAATTGCAGGAGAGACTTACACTTTTTGCATTTCCTGACTCTGGAGTGCTTCATATTATATTAACTGAGAGGATTTCCTAAAGAAAAATCATCCAGATCATATTGATCAAGGAGTTCACAGGTTCAGCCAGTGGAACCCATGATATCATAAACAGGAGTTCTTCATTGTTGGGGCTGTGCTTAATCACTTTCTGACTCAGAAGTTCTCTTTCCTACAGACACCCACCCTTGACAGATCTAATTCAGTCCCCTCCCCGGTGCCAAATGATGCTTGTCGGTTCCTTGCTATGAAACATTCTCATTTGCAGTGCTTGTAAACCCCTATCATTGTGGAGCCCTTAAATGGGAAATCCTTAAAAAGAACCGAAAAATTAGCACATGTGGAGTTGCCAAATGTAACAATGTATAACTCAAACTAATGAACTGACTTCCTTCAAACTTGGCTTGTCTTTTAAGTCTCAGTGAGATCTGCAAAGCAAGCCAAGGCTGAATTTTGCAATAAGAGCCATGCTTGAGTTATCTGAGCACAAAAATTCAGCTTGGAATATAGAAGATCAGTGTTTAGTGTTTATACTTGTGTGATTCAATAATGGCTTAGCTCATTTTGCTAAAGCTTTCCCTCCAAATATTACTTTTGAACTGAGAGAAAGCATGGGAGATCCTAGCCCCAAAGGAATATGTGTTTGAGAAAGTTATGAGCTTCTGGAAAATGTGGGTTGGAAAATAGAATTTAGAACTTTCCCTTTTCTGTAGTGGATGGTACTGGTTCTCTGTGTGATAAATACAGCTTTAGTTGGTGGGATTTTTCTGTTATGAATCATATTAAAAAGTGAAGGGCTTGAGGGGGAAGGACTTGACCAGCTAGGAAACAGAAGCATGGCAGAGCAGGTTAGCTACTTAACAGCTTTTGGGAAAGCCTGCAGCCTGTACTTGATTGTACTTCTGGTGCCGTCCCTTAAGGGGTCTCAGGGTGCTGTTCAAATGCTAATGAATTAAGACTCTCAGCCCCTTGTGTTCCCTCTGTAATACTTTCCTAACTCACAACTTACTCAAGGTTATGTCATGAGCCATAGCAGAGTTGGGAATAGAGTTCACATTACTTCGCTCCCAGTTTTGGGCGTTAGCCAGAACACCACGCTAACGTAGTCAGCAGTGTGTCTCGTCTGGCATGGTGTGACAAGTTGTGACAGTAATCTTTTTGTAGCATGGCATCTATTGAGCTCAGTTCAGCCTTGCTGCTTGTTGCAAGTGGCCTTACGTATGGGCCTGTTCGGAGTCACTAAATGTGTGGAATTTGTGCAGACAGAATTCTCTACTTCTTTCAGCAGGTATTCTGTCCTAGTCTGTCTCCCATCTGTATCTTTTTTTCCTAGTGCTAACAGTTGCATGGTCATTCCAAGGGCATTTTCCTTTTCTTATTCACATCTCTGGCTAAACACAGTGAGGAATCCGAAGGAAAAATGAAAGTGCACTGGGGTCATCCTGGAGCTCACTTTGATTCACACAGGAGTGAAATGCCAGATAATAAGCTGGGATTTATTGCCATCCACAGTCTTCCAAGACAGCCTGGAAAAGCAGAGAGTGCTGGGTAAAAAGTCAACTCTACAGATCTCCAGCAAACTCCACTAAAAAGGATTGTTGGACTCTGAATTGGGGCTGCTGTGAATATCTGTCCATGTAACTCACAAAGCTTATTTTTTTTATAGTGGTGGGGTTATGATCTACATTGACCGAATAGAAGTTGTGAATATGTTAGCACCATATGCAGGTATTTACTCTTTCCTGTTTCATCAAGCAATATTATACCTGACCATGTATGTCTGTTGGGGCAATGGAATAGTCTCCCTAGGGAAGAGGTGGAAGTCCCATTGCATGGGACATCTAAAACTTGCCTGGCCAAAGCACTTGTAAATAGGTTGTATTGAACACTCCTGGGTGAGAGGGTGGGATACACATGGCCTCCCTTCTGTTGGTATGGATTTTGCCTTTTGACCAGGATGTTTTATCTAGTTCTACCTGAGATTCACTAATCTGTGCTGAAGACTTGCACCTTCTCCCAGCCCATGCTCAGACAGGGAAAGCCTTGCTTTCAGAACACTTCAGCACCGAATGCACTCCTCATGTACTGAGCCCTTTGAAAATCTGGCAACTTATTTGTCAGTGGGAGCTGGGCTTTTTTGGAAAACTGGCTCCAATTGTGGGTGTCAACCACTTGTAAATGTGGCCCATAGAGTCCTAATCCAGCTCAACTTCTAGATAGTCCTTCTTGTGAATACCCTAGACTGCTTGGCAGGTGCCCTGGTTAAAGATAATTGAGCCCAGAAGAGAAAAGGCACAGATGCCAAGCTGTCGACAGGGTGTTCAGCACTCGACTGCTGTCACATCCTGCTGGTTCTGCTTCTCTCATGTGTCACTCAGAAGGGGATCAAGAAAGTGTTTGGGCTGAGCTTCCCTGGCTCTACCTGAGGCACATGATTGAGGTATCATTGCCGTAGTACCCTGGTGACTCGAACACAGTACCCACCTACTACACTTGTCCCATTCTAGAGCACTTAGAAGAGTGACCCTACAATGAGCATCTCCAAGTGCTTGAGCTTTTTAAAGCCTTTCCTTCAAGTAGCCTGGCATCCAGCAAAGGCCAGGAAACAGTGAAGAAGGATGGCTTTGTGCTTAAGGCCCTGGACTTGAAGCCAGGAGAACTGGGTTCTCTTCTGGTGCTAACACAGGCTTCCTGTGTGACTTTGTGCCAAGTCCCTGCCTCTCTTTGGCCTCTGTAGGCCACCTATAGCATGGGTAGAATGAGGCTGCACTATCTTGCATGGTGGCTGGGAGATGCCATGGTTAATGTTTATAAGGTGCTGGAGGGTGCTAGAGAAGTTCAGAAAGCTTCATGGAGTGTAGCTCTGTGCAGGTCTTGCCTTGAAATGTGGGGGGTCTTGCAGAAGATGGGCAATCATGTAGACACAGTAGTGTTCTAACCTCATTGCTTGCATTTATTTGCTATGTTGACTTAACATTACTGTAATGGACTTTATACGTGAACAGACAAAATGGTGCCCGCTTTTGAGAGAGTGCAGAGCTAGTGAAGTTACTGCATGTGTTGTTAAATAGGGATGTGCACAGCTGAGGGGACTTTCCTTTCTTGGGAGCAGCATCCTGTTTATCTCCGGTTTATAAACCAGTTACTCTTGGCTTGGTCCTCACTCTCAGGCTGACAGCTGTTTGCAGCCTTCGTCCCTCAGAGGAGTGCATTAAACCTGAGCATTGCAGGAATTGCCTACCTGATTTTCCAGATAGCAGGACAAAACTGAGTATTGCTCACATCAAGTTGCTCCAGACAATTAGAATGGGGGCAAAAGTAGAAAAGCAGAATCTGAATATCTTTATACTACATCAGAGCAGCCGTCCTACAGCAGCTATAGCATAGGTTGGCAATACCACTTCCATTCTCCTTATCCTGATGCTGTTATGGCTCCCCACACCAGAGAATCTGATTCTAACCCCATGTTTCCACACTCCCCCAGACTGGAATTTTCCAGGCATGGTTTGTCCGAAGATGAATGAGCAGGTGCAAACAAACTGTAAAGAGATTGACTGCCTCTTGATCTTGAAATTGTTTGGACTTTGAAATGGCAAGCTTAGTTTGCAAAGAGCCCACATTCAAAAGAACTTAGTTTGCTTAGTTTGGGGGGGCAAAAACTGCAGAACCAGCACATGTAACAAGCTCAGCTACTCAAAAGCTGGCAAAGCTTACAAGTTTTTGAACAAGGTAGAGGAGCTTGGGAAGGCAGCACGCTTGGCCTAAGTCTTCTGTTGCTCCACAGGGTCACCAGTTGTGGAACAGGAAAGTGAAATCCCTGCTGCTGCAGCCTGTGGAACATGAGAGTTCCACAAGAGGAAAAACCTCTGGTTTTTCCCTTCAAAGCAGGGAAACGTAATGCTGGGAACTAGTGTTACTGCAGCATTGAGAAAGGAACACCCACTTGGGTGTTGGGGAGTCACAGCATCTATTAGGCCTGTATTCTGTATTCAGCACTGCCTGTTCCTGTACATGGCTCATGGCAGACTTCCCTGTTTTTTTTGTTTGTTGCAGACCATAAAGCAGGGCTGTGCAATATTCTTATCTGTGCATAATTATCCTACTCTTCTAAGTTTGGTTTGGACAATCTAGAATTGAGGGTATCTTACCTTGTGAGAGTGCAAGGGCTGTTAGAATGGCTATGTAGACTGAAAAGCATTGTTCTCCTGCCGCGTTAGTGTTGCCCTGTGGTAACTCTCTCTTTCCTCAGTGTACGATGTTGTGAAGAACTACACTGCAGACTACGATAAGACCCTGATCTTCAATAAAATTCACCATGAGCTGAATCAGTTCTGCAGTGCACATACCCTCCAGGAAGTGTACATTGAGCTGTTTGGTAAGTATGTGGGGACCAGGGAGTATACAACAAATGGAAGTTTAATTCAGTAGGCAGCTATGCCTCTGCCCACGATTGTCAAGGGTCTCCATTCACAAGTGTCCATTAGGAAGCCAGAGTTGTGCCGAGATCACCATCAAGAACAGTCTCCTTGAGATGGCACAGTTCACTACAGTTATTCGAAGTCCTTATCAATGCAGGTTATTTCATTGTTCATGTGATGTCATATTGTGGGTTTATGGGGGTAACAGTAGCTGTTAACCCAGAACTGAACTTTGGATATAAGATCAAAGCAAAGCCTGTGTAAGTGGTCATACCTGTCATCACTGCAGCAAAAGGAGGCTCCTGGAAACAGATGTTTGGAATGTCACACATTACTCAGACCCTTGCACCATTGCTAAATGAGTCTTCATCACCACCTTGGAATCCTCCTTTGATTTCTGTGTGGAAGAAATGGAAGGGAGTTGCTTTCAGTCCCTTTGCCTCCCCTCTGCTCCTGACCCCAAAATGAGACCCTTTGCCCCTCCCTAGTCTCTTCACAAGTTGCAGGTGTTGGTGTGTCGTGTCTTGGCTTGACACCTGAGTTCTACATGCATGTCACCCATCCTCTACTAGTACCCCAGTCAGGGAAGAGCTTATGAAGCAGCATCTGGGGGATGGTTGCTTTTGGAAGGGCAGGGCAAAGGGGGTTCCTGGCATGGGAAAACTGGCTGGATCAGGACTTGACTCTGTGAATGTAAATCGCTGTGTGCAGCACAGATACGCCAAGGCTGGGTGGGCTCAATAAATATCCACGGTAGAGAGAAGCTTCCAAATGCTATTTGCAGATTATCTTTAAGCCTTTGGAAATTGGCTAATTCCAAAGGAGGAGTGTCCTGGGGAATGATTGATTTCCAAGCCTGCTGGCAGATGGGGATGGGCATTGTTCATCCACAAAGGCTTCCCTTTGCCTCTGTGCTGATGTGCATGGACCCCTGTTATCAGCTCGGGCAGTAAAGCTGTAACGGGGGGGGAAGGGCGGGTGTTGTAGAGTGTTCCAAAGATGGCCAGGCTTTGGCTCAATCTTACTTCCCCAGTAGCTTGATTCACAGCTTGGCATCCTTGACAAAGACTTTATTTCCAGCTCCAGTGCTTCATCCTAGGCCTCATTAGCTGCACTTTCCCCAAAGAGCACTTTGGAGGGGTGGTGGATGGAGAAGTAGATTGTACTGTAGGTGGGTCCTGATCTCTCCAGAGCCTCGCAGGTTTAAGGCCAGAGCATCAAACTGGCATTGGTGTCAGTGTGACAAGGGATGGTGGAGGGCAGGCTTGTGCCATAAGTTCCACGTGGTATTTCCTGCTGCGGCATTGAGTTGGGGCAGTCTGCACAGAACAGTCAGTGTCTTGCGTCTACCATCAGCACTGGCTGCAGTGAGTTTGCTAGTGGGGGAGCCAGCCTGGAAGCAACCAGCCTGTGAATCACTGTGTCGAGGTCTCCTCCTGGAGAGGTGAGGGGGAACAGGGTTTCCAGTGAGTTGTCGACGGATGCAGGCATTTCTCACTGTGCTGTTTAAAACTCAGTGCTGAAAGTCCCAGAGAACAGCAGGTGAGAGGGACATTCAGCATCAAACTAAACATAGAGGTTATCTCTAAAAAGCATACATATAGAGCTCCCACTGCCACAGTGGCTGGCCTCCATGTGGTGCAGCGGTCCAGGCACTGGGCTGGCAAAAATATGCCCATGACCCCAAGTGTGCACATAGCACTGTGGAATCAGGAGGCAGGCAGCATATTGCAGGGGTTTGCAAAGTTCTTTATCCTTATTTTGTACTGTCTGGATGGACCTCCCCTGCTGAGTGATGTATTGACACTAATCACTACATGCACGTTAGCTAAATTTTACAGCGCAGGCTGCAGTGTTGCTGAATCTCTCTTGTCCCTTGAACACAGATCAGATTGATGAGAACCTGAAGCTGGCCCTGCAAAAAGAGCTGAATGTCATGGCGCCAGGTCTCACCATACAGGTAGGCTCCTTCCTAAAGGGAAACTCTTCTATATTTCACTCCCATAAAGCCTACAGTTGAGAAGGGATGGAAATGATTTCCTGCCTCCACATTTCATATGGCTTTCAATTAAGTACTGGGCACATGCCAATGTGCTCTCTGGGAGGAACATCTTCTTGTTCCCCAGGCCAACTGCCACCGCTTCTGTACAACCTTCAATGTGATTACGTGGATTACATTGAAATGTGCAGCTGCATCTAGCAGAGAAGTGTTGTAATTCCACGGGTCAGCTTCCCCAGCATGGTTTTGCATAGAAGCATTCTTTCTCAGCAGATTTTCAAAGCTTGGGCCATTCTAGCCACCTCGGCTTTTCCCAAAACCCATTTAGGATTTAGATGTTGCCCTTTTTTCCATGGAAAACTTGTCATGATGGTTAGAAAAGAGAAACTATGTGAAAGAGAGAGAAGTGGTCCCTTCTTTCTGCACAGATCTGCATGTATTAGAGTTATATCTGCAAACATATTAGTGACAAAAATAAGTTCTTACTACTTCTATCATCCCTGCAGAGCCAACCCAGCTCTGAGAGGGTGAGCGGGAGTCTGTCCCAGCTTACTCATTATCAGCACACTTGTTAAAGGTAATTTGAACAGGAGAAAATTGGGCTTGTTCCTCTTGTGTGTCTTTGTCATGTGTACAGAGGGAGGCTGTTTCCAAAAGACTTTTTTCTGCTTGCATTTTACATTAGAAATCAGGTTCCATCTACGCTGGGAGACTCTGTGATGGCTGAAGAACCTGTGAGCAGTCACTTGAGAGGCCCCCATTCTGACACCCCATCACAAGAATTAAACAAGTGAAAGTTGAGCTGGTGGGAGGGGTCAGACTCATTCTACTTTGCTTGTTTTTGTTACCAGATTTAACTTGTCCAATTAATATTTTGAGTGGAGGGAGCCTATGTTAAAAAAAATCTATGGCCTCAGCCCTTCCATCGGGTGTGAAGAGATCACAAAAAACATCCTTCCACCTCACAACTTGTCTTTGCGATTGCACAGTCCCTGTAGAGAGTGACAGATTGTGGTAAGCATCATGTCACAATCAACTTTGGAAGAGCCCTGAGGCCTTGCCTTTCCTAACCACCTAAGCCATCCAGATTTAACAGGCCTGATATTTTTAAGGTAAAAAACAAGCAGGAAAAACCCTCTTTAAGTTTTAAAAACCAACACTTTCCGACCCTCTGTATCCATCAAAAAGGGTACAAGCACGGGTTTAAAAGTTCTTTGCAGGTCACCATTAACTGAATTTAAATTGCAGAACTAAATCCTGTTCTCAGACATGTGCTATCCTATTGAAGACAACTGAGGATAGCGCTCAGCCTGCAAGATCTTTGTTACTCCTTAGGAATTGGAAGGCAGCCAGCTTGACTGAGCCCAAACTGAGTTTGCAGGACCTGCAGTTAGAAGTGACATTGTTTAACTTGTAAACTAAGCACACTTCATCTCGAGTCCTGCCTGGCATTTTCAGTCCCTTCTCAGAATAGCATTGCATTTTAAAGTCTCTGGTATAATGTTCCTTACTGTGCAACTTGCCCATTATTCTGTATCCTGTGTCATTTAAGCCATGTGCTCACTTGGCTAAGGTTACATCAGGATTTTTAATAGAGCCCTTTATGTACAATGGCTTGTAGCTTTCTAGGCTGAAATTACATGTGCTAGGCAGGGGAGTGAGCTCTCTGTTTTGATGGCCACTCCACTTTACACTGTGTTTCACCATGAGGCCCCATCCCAGCTTCATGCCTAGGATGGTCTCTCCTATCTCAATGCATTTCCCTTCCTATGTTCTTCCCCAGGCCTCATTCCCATCCAAGGGCAACTCTTTATCCATACAGATGTAAAGAGCGTGTTCTGTTATCTGGAAAAGACCAAATCCTTTAGAAAATGCAGTAGTTTATTTGTAGCATATAAGGAGAGATGCCATGAAGGAACCCATTGATGAACAGACACTTGCACTGGGTTAGGAGATGACTAGAACACTCATATATCTTAGCTAGGGAACCAGTACCCCGTGGTTTAAAGACCCACTCCATGAGAACCACCACAGCAGCAGCGATCTGCCTTAGGCAAGTTCCCCTGCTGAAGACTTGCACAGCAGCAACTTGGAGTTCGGTGCACACTTTCGTCAGATGCTAGTCTCAGATTTAGCACTATGCTCCAGTGCCGAGTCCGGGAGAGCTGTGCTGTCGTCCATATTTAGCTAAGGACCTGGTGGAGCTCTGCTTGCTAATCTCCCACAAGAGGAATGCACAGAGGCCCTTAAAGAAGTGAAACGTTACTTTCTAGTAACTGTTCTTGGAGAGCTGCCAGTGTACAACCACACTGTCCTGATCTTTTGGGTTTTTCTGAAGGATAAAAGTTACACATGTGAATGTTGCCGACTCCCTTCCAGTTGGCTTTGTTGGGGAGGGGAGTTCTGAAGAGGGAATGCAATGAGGAGAGCAGGATGACTTGGCAGACCAGAGTATGGAGGGAGTTATGTGTATGAGGGCAGCTCAAAAAGAGGCAGAGAAACAGGGAGACAGTGGAGGGGTTCAAAGGGGGTGACCTTTTCAGAGTGACCACATAGGTGGAGATACGCTATTCTCAGTGACGACTTGTTGTAGGAAAGGAACAGAGAAGCTGAATGGAACCACCAACCCGTAAGTCACTTTCTGAACCTCACATAGTGATGTCCAGTGTCTAAGTGCTGCTGGCATGAGATTTAGAGCTTTCTCTACTAGATGACACTGCCTGGATCAGGTTATCTTGGCAGAATAAATTGCGTTCCTTGCAGGTGGTTTCCCAGCTGTGCAGTTCTAATTGTAGAGAGTCTAATTGTAGAGTGTTTTTAAATGACTTTGGCTTCTTTTTCAGGCTGTGCGTGTTACAAAGCCCAAAATCCCAGAAGCCATCCGAAGAAACTTCGAACTAATGTGAGTAGTTGCGCAGCAGATCCCATTGTTTAGCAGGTTCATGCTGCTTACAGCAACTAGGGTGTGTAACAGTCCCAGAATGTGCTCTCAGGGGGAGTGGTGGGCAGTTGGTGCCCAGGACCGCATGGAAGGGTCCAAACTTCTTATTCCTCACTGTGTATTTGTGGAGAAATTCCGTGGAATTGACTAGAGGAGGAGGCTCTTCCTCTTACCATCCTCTTCTGTTGCTAGAACTTAACTCCTGCTGGCAGCGGGCAAAGACACTCGAGGAAGGATCTCCTTCCCTATCCATGGGTAACAGAACTGATCTCAGCAAAGCTCTAGTGGTTTCATATGTATTGAATTAGACTGGGCTCTTCTATCTCACTGCAGCAGTGTGCTGAATGCTGTATCTGCTGAGCATGCTTTGTGAGTGTCCCCTCCCTGGCGGGAGGAAAGGCCGAATTGGCTTTATGGGACCACTGGCTCAGATGTAAATGGAGATTGCCAAGGACTCAGGTGCAGCAAAGTGGGGCTCTTCTCTCACTGTTCTCTCCTGTTCCTCTGAGGAGATAGATTCCCCCTCCACAATTTCATGTGGAGATGAAATTTGAACTGGCTTTTTTGCCTTCCTGGTTGGTGCATCATCTTTCAAACCATTAGCAGCTGCTGCAGGACCAGAGGAGGGAGCCCTGGAGATGGCTCATTTGCCTCCCCCTCCCCCCGTCCCCCTCTGTGTGTGGAAGAGCAAAGCAGCTGTGAAGGTGTCTGTAGGTGGATGGTGATGCAGAACTGGTCTCTACTTGTTTCTGTGCAGATTGCAACTCCAGCCATCACAAAGCTCCCTGGAACTTGTCTGGGAGGGTTTAGCAGACTCAAGACCCATCTGATATTGTCCATGCAGGAGCCTGCTTTCTAGAAATTCCCTCAGGACTCTGAGGGAGGATCACACTGTGCTGCTTCCCCTGCATGCTGTCCTTTTCCCAGAGGCACTGTTAGGTGCAGAGCTGAGGCATGGGAGCCATTCAGGGTTCACGTTAGCTAGTCTATAGCATGAGGTTAAACTGCTGATCATAGTTAACACTCAATCTGCCCTTGCTTGGGGGTGGGTCGTGTCTGCAGCAGCTGCACAAGGGCAGTATTTGGTGTTGGTGGGCACTGGTGCTGGGGTGGTGGGAAATAGATGAACCCAGGAAATTGCCTCCAGAAAGGGGTTAGGTGGCTGAAATAAGGAGAGCAAAGATACACAAGGCCAAGCAGAATGTAAGGACAGCAGGACCAATAGAATAAGCGAGGTGCTTAATCCCAGGCATGGGTAGGAGAATGTTGGACGACAGTTCTTGCACGCGCGTGCACACACGCCAATCATTACGCAGACCATGTTCCCATCTGTGTAAGAAGGCCAGGTGGAAGCTTTATCTGGCTGTGGGCTGTGCTCCCCTTGGGACCAGCACACACTCCATATCATGGCAGGATAGGGTGACTTGGCAGTGTTGCCCACTTTCGCAATTGTATCACAAGTCTTGTGATATTTTCTGTTTTCCGTCAAGCCCCAGCTGCTGGAGTCATGTGATCACATGAGAATTTTGGCTTAATTACCAAAAAGTAAGTTTCTAGCATTTGTGGTTGTGAAGGAAAGCTTGAAAATGTGACACTGATGCAGCCCTGTAGGCTAAGGTATTGGACTGCAAATAAACCCAAAACTTATTAGTGAAAACAGATCAGTATTTTTAAATGAAATTTCAAGACTTTTTGAGATCTGACTTGTAACTTTTGATAATCTGGGGTTGGCGGTGCTACATATGTGCTCCCATCACCAGGGCCATCTTTGAGCCCCTTGCAAACATTCATTGTTATCTTCACAGACCCTCAGGAAAGTTGGGCAGTGGTGTTATCCCCAACGTACGGATGGGAACTGAGATGCATGGAGTCTGGCAGAGCCAGGAACCAAGCCCAACTCTCCTGAGTCTTGAACAAATGCCTTAATCGTTAAGGCAGATGGTGGGTGGTGTTAGTAAAAAGTTTGGGAACCACTTTCTTCACCACCAGACCATCCGTCCACTCCAGCAGCCTGTGTCACAGGGATCCTCAGAATCCTCAGAGAGCAACAAACTCGTGGTGAGGGCAGTCTGGGGCTCTGAACCAACGCATGAGATGACAGCTAGCCTGAATGTTTAGTGTGAACACATTTAGAGGAGTCCCAATAGTCAGCCCTGGAACTTCATCTTCCCCTGAGTCCATATATGCCCCCTTCTTAAAACTCCTGGGCCCATGGTCCTGGTGTGAATCCTGTGTTCTAACCACCATCCTTTGAAGCAGAGGACTGCTTGGCCTCCCCTTAAAAGAGCTCCTTAATTAGCCACAGATCTCTTGTCCTCTAGGCTCATCAGGTTTTCTGTGTCACTGCCCCGAACTCCAGTAAGAGCATTGCATGGAGGTCCCTCAGACAGCCAAAGTAGCTGTCTGTGCCATGTGGATGCAGCTGAGCTCGCTGGTAGACACCTTACACGCACCTGCAAGAGATGATTGGGGTCAGGAGAAGTTCAGTGCATGGTGAAGTTCCTGAGTTTAAATCCTATTTTAATATTTTGCGTCAGCTGCTTTATTCTTAACCAGTCTGTTGTTTGTGCCCTTCTCAGATCTCTAGCATTTTGAACTTCTCTCCCCTTTCATGTGCATCTTCAAACAATGAAAGCTCTTCCATTTCCTTCGCTCGTGTTAGCAGGAATATACTCGGTGCTTGGGCTGGTTGTTAATTGCATCTACCACAGCTAGCAGAGAGCAGGAGAATGCAAAGCAGTGACATCGTAGGTCCTCACATAGGGTTGCATGCTGTCTTTTTGGTAGAATAGTGGAGTGGAGAGTTGAAGCAGGTTATCTTGGAAGGGAGCTAACTGGCTTTGGCTCCACTTGGTCATGTGGATATGATGCTGATTTGCCCAGGTTCACATCTGAAAGCCAGGAATAGAGAGTACCCTGTATTGAAGGGGCATTGTCGCCTCATTGTCAGGACATGGTTTAGTCTTGGGGTCATTAGGGAGCCTTGGCTTCCTAGGTGACAATGGTGGCACAGCTGCAAGCATCTTTTCCAGAGTAACTGACCCTTCCGGCCCAGAGGCTCTGTCACTGCAGTGTGCTCTACCTTGGAGCAGTCCCGGAAAAGCAGTGTGGTGCTCTAGTTAGTGCAGAATGCAGTAACTTGTCATTTGAGTGGAGTACTTGTTTGTGTAAGCTCAGTGCCCTGTCCCAGGTACTGGCTGCCAGTGTCCAGGTGCAGGTCTTTGATCCGTAAAGCCTGCAGTGGTCTAGGATACACTTCCTAGGAATCTCCACCCATAAGTCATGTCAATTACAAACCACCCTTGCTGTTTGGTTCAGGATGGGCAGCAAGACTTTCTCATGCAGGATACAGAGTCAGACTCTTCTGGCTGATGCCCTAGATACGGTCTCCCACAGTATTCTTGCCGGCAAGTTAAAGTAGTATGGGCTGGATGAATGGACTATAAGGTGGATAGAAAGCTGGCTAGATCGTCGGGCTCAACGGGTAGTGATCAACGGCTCCATGTCTAGTTGGCAGCCGGTATCAAGCGGAGTGCTCCAAGGGTCGGTCCTGGGGCCGGTTTTGTTCAATATCTTCATTAATGATCTGGAGGATGGCGTGGACTGCACTCTCAGCAAGTTTGCAGATGACACTAAACTGGGAGGAGTGGTAGATATGCTGGAGGGTATTGGACATTGGTGAGGCCTCATCTGGAGTACTGTGTCCAGTTTTGGGCCCCACACTACAAGAAGGTTGTGGAAAAATTTGAGAGAGTCCAGCGGAGGGCAACAAAAATGATTAGGGGGCTGGAGCACATGACTTATGAGGAGAGGCTGAGGGAACTGGGATTGTTTAGTCTGCAGAAGAGAAGAATGAGGGGGGATTTGATAGCTGCTTCCAACTACCTGAAAGGGGGTTCCAAAGAGGATGGATCTAGACTGTTCTCAGTGGTACCTGATGACAGAACAAGGAGCAATGGTCTCAAGTTGCAGTGGGGGAGGTTTAGGTTGGATATTAGGAAAAACTTTTTCACTAGGAGGGTGGTGAAGCACTGGAATGGGTTACCTAGGGAGGTGGTGGAATCTCCTTCCTTAATGGTTTTTAAGGTCAGGCTTGACAAAGCCTTGGCTGGGATGATTTAGTTGGGAATTGGTCTTGCTTTGAGCAGGGGGTTGGACTAGATGACCTCCTGAGGTCCCTTCCAACCCTGATATTCTATGATTCTATGATCACTGCAGGTGCAGAGGGCAGGTATCTCTGCACTCCACCCCTTTCATGAATTTAGTGCTTCCATGTAATGAGGGTCCCATGTGCAGAGGACCATTCAGGGCCATCTTTAAAACAGTAACTCCTCCTTCCCTTGCTAAGCTTGTACTGGGCAGAGCCTCAGGGAGGGCTCGGTTAACCTCCCCTTTGCTCAAGCAGTCAGCTGGCCTCCAGTTGTGTCTCGTGGAGTAAATCCCTCTAATTGGATTCTGATTAACTTCCACATTGGACTCCAAGGGCAGCCTGTGGTGACACAGCGACCACCAGTTAAGGGCAGCACAAAAAAGCCAAGGAGCAAAAGCAAAATCCCAAATACACAAGCAAGCTGCTCCTATTCTGCAGCCAATTTATTGGAGTTTTTAACAAGTAAAGTAAACCTGCAGTTCACCCTATATTCCCCAGACATACTCGTCTGTATGCTGTCTGGTTGTTCTGTACCTGCAACTCCGTGTCTATCCCACCTGCACTCAACTGCTCCCCTTTGGGATGGTGACATTGCGTGCTGTGTTTATTCTAAATCTACACCCTGAAGGCTCACTTGCAAACTGTTTTGTGGTGCAGGGAGGCTGAAAAGACCAAACTGCTCGTAGTAGCACAGAAGCAAAAGGTTGTGGAGAAGGAGGCGGAGACGGAGAGGAAGAAGGCTCTCATAGGTATGTTGAAGAGTCATCGACACACAAGCACTACCAAGGGCTAGTGTCTTCAGATTTCATCTTCTCACAAGCTATTACTGGAGTGGACTAGGACAGAACATCCCAGCTAGGCCCTTTTGACAGTCTGCTGTCCCTAGCCAAGCAGGAACAGGCTAGATCACTAGTTAGGTGGGAGACGTCCAGGGTAAATCCTGCAGCTGCTGATTCAGTAGATGAGGCGCCTCCCTCTGAATCAGCACTGACTCCCTCACTGGGGACAGCAGACCTCTGAGCACCTCATTGCAAGGCTGTATTGCACCCTGCAGCAGTCGGTGCACTGGCTACCAGTTTTTGTGGTGATGCTGCTTCTGACCATTCAATGATACAGTGGGGCCTGTTATTGCCCAGTGGACACATGGTGCAGAAGCACGTTATCCTATGAAGCCGTGTGTTTAACTTTCGCAATTTTATTCTCTCGTCATGTCAATACAGTTTGTGTTATGCTGATCCAGTCCCCCAGTGGCGTTAGAGATGCTGTGCTGATGGGGGGGCCATCTTTCAGAGGGGTTGTAAAACCAAGGGCCTACTCCTGGGGGTCACGGAGTATCACCTGGTCCTTTTGGAAAGGAATTGAGAGCAGCCCCAGTGGCCTGGTCCTACTCTAGTTCAGGGATCATATGCCACTTCCATGAATGATTCCCCTTTGTAAAGTGCTGCATTGTGGTGCAGGACAGGGGCGTAAAAGCTCGCTAGAGTTCTCAACACCTCTCCCTTGGAAGCTGCTTAGAACTTAGAGACGTTCCTTTTGAAGTGAAATTCTTAGTTGTTTGGCTTCTACCCAACGTGTGTGCATCGCATCACTAAACAGTTTGTTTTCAGTACATTGTAAGGGCATTTGGAATGGGGCTGCGTACTGCACTGGGGACACTTGTAAGCCAGATCAGTCCTTGGACTGGAGTCACAAGCTGTCCTGGTGAAAGTGGCTGAGCTCTGCAGGCTGAATGTCTCCACACCAAGGAATTTTGTAGGCTGTAAGTTACTGGTAGCACTACCCGCGTGAAAGGTGGCTGAGTTACTGCGGTGCTACAACCCATCACTGTTGTGTTTCCTGATCGTGCCACCCGAATGTAACACTGTTAATTTGTGAAGCACCTTGAGGGGATGGAAGAAGTGAGCTGTAGGGATAGCCTGGTACTGAGCCTCCTATCATCAGCAATCAGTGCAGTCCATTCAAAACTACTGTTCACATGACTGGGCTGGGATGCTGTGGCCACAGGTGCTTGAGCTGGTATTGTCTGAGCTGCTGTTTGTAATTGCAGAAGCTGAGAAGGCGGCTGAGGTGGCCAAGATTCATTATCGACAGAAGCTTATGGAGAAGGAAACAGAGAAGAGAATTTCTGAGATTGAAGGTAACTGGAGCTTGAGTAGTGACGCTTCTCCTCTCTCTCTTCCCCCCCCCCCTTTTCCCTCCCCCAACGCTAGCTGTTAGCACAAGGTTTCCAAGAGGCACCCCCGCACTTCCAGTAACTATAGGTGGAGGAGAAACCTCAGCCTGGGGATCCTAGGTACTATCACAGTGCAAATAATAAACCTCACACAACTGTAGCTCTTAACTGTGAGGTTGAATTCTCCCCGAGTGTTTCACAGCCAGTGATCTCCTTACATCACAGTCCCAGGGGGCCTGTAGTAATGTTGCTACTGCAGTTCTAATACTCTTTTCTATTTGACTTTCTCTTGCTGTTAGATGCTGTTTTGCTAGCAAGAGAGAGAACAAAAGCTGATGCAGAATATTACACGGCTCGGAAAATGGCTGACTCTAACAAGGTATGGGGAGTGTTTGGAACAAAGTGACCCAAAGCTTAGACTTGCTTAGTCTCTTCGCTCCACCGAGGAAGGGGAGGGCTCCAAATGGCGAGTGATATGGGAAGGTTTGATTTATCTAATATCAATCCAGTTTTCTGGTGCAGGGATTTAAATCTTGACCACAAACCCCCGTTGCTGGGTGCGGGGTGAGAGGGGACTTGTGGGGATAAATCCAGTGATGTCTGCATGAGAACGTTGCCTCTTATGGGATCTGCTCTCTCGCTCTGTATAGCTGAAACTCACGCCAGCATATCTGGAGCTGAAGAAGTATCAGGCCATCGCTGCCAACAGCAAGCTGTATTTTGGTAACAGCATCCCCAGCATGTTTTGGGATTCCTGCACCTTCAAACATGTGGCTGTGAGGACCGTGCCAGAAGCCAGCCTCCTTTCAAAGGAGGATCCTGCACTCTCTGGGGAAAGCCACCTCAAAAAACCAGAGAGCACAGGCTGATGCAAGAGGTGGAAAAGCTTCAGCAAGCTCTGGAAGAAGGGGCTGCATCATGCAGACCAGTGTCCTTCCCTAGTGTGCTACAGGGGCGCTGCCTGCCCTCTGCCATGCCCCAGTGGGGCGGACACAGCACACACAGCCTCTTTCTACACAGATGTGACAATTGGGTTGATTTCTTTAAGCAACAACTGTGTTGAGGGCTCTGCCTTTCCCTTTTCTCACTCCCTGTTTGTGCTGGTGCTTCCGAATGAGGGACAATCCTGTACTTAAACCTGCCTATACTGGAATATTAAAGGACAGAAGCCAGGGAGCCTTCTGCAGGAGGTGCAGTTCTTTAGAAGGCCTGTGTTCTGCATTACCCTTGCGGCAGGAGGTTTGGCCTAGGGGTCCTCGAGGGTGCTGGGTGAGTGGGATGGAAATCCTGGTCGTTTTGCTGCCCACGCCCTGAGGCTGGTCCGACTCGTTAACCTCCCTCATACTGCTCTTAGGCCTGTTGCTCATCTAGATGTAAACTTAATTTCTTCTTGTAAAATGCTACTGACTTTTGTCTGGTTCAAGCCTCACCATACACACCTGCTCAGATCCCTAGAGGCCAGAGGCCCAGCTAGGATGGGTTTGGTGACAAGTAGATTTTTTTTTTTTTTAATAGGAACCATAATAGCTCTAATCCTTTCTGTAGATAGCAACACTAACTGCTGTGAACTCGGAACTAGTCTATAATGGTAATGCCGTGCTAGCTGGGCCGCCTGTCTCCTTAGCTGCCCTATGTGCAGTGAAGATAGTGTTCCGCTCTTTGGTGCTGTATGGCTCTGTCTCCTCCCATCCAAAGATGCGGATTGAGGAGCAGGCAGCATATGGCGCCAGGTACTGAGGGCAAGGGGACAGACTTGTGAAACCTGCCCCAAGCACATACGCCTCTGCCACCCCCCCAGCCTCCTCCCAGTTAGCTGTGCCTCCTCGCCCTGGGAGGTTTGCTACCTCTGCATCTGGCAGACAAAGGGAGGAGAGCAAGTGCAGATGCAGGACGCAGCGCTCCCAGGTCTGTGATAAAGTGCCATGTTTACACACCCACACCCCCTCCCTCCCTCTCAGTTGGCTGTCCTGCTGTCCAAGCAGGGAATGGGCTCAACCTGCTGCTTCAGCTCAGTCTTGCTCCACCACGTCCGCAGCTCTGCCCCAGGGTCCCAGCATCAGGCGGCTGAGCTTCTGGGGTGGGAGCTCTGCAGCAGCAGCTCCCACCTGGAGTCGTTTAATTTGGGGGCATTCTGGTTTTGAATGAAGTATTGTCGCTTCCCCAGAGAGCAGGCGCTCAGTGTGAACAGCTCCTGTCGCCCAACCCATTGTCTGTCAGCATTTTTGACCATCCGTAATGTCATCAACTGAGCAGTGCTGCTTCTTGGGATGCTGCCTGCTAGCTGCACAGGAAAGAAGCCCCCTGCTGGGGATACTGTGCTACATCTGCTGTCTGCCCCTTGACCCACTGCCCTAGGGTGGGGGGAATTCCTACAGGAGCTGTGCTTGGTGTAGTCTCCTCCCCTCCCTTCCAATGGTAGGGCCACTGTTCAGGTGGTATTTCACATACTGTTGTGTAGACACTTCCTTTTTAAGTCCTGGAGTGTGTGTGAAGGGGTGGGGCTTAGATCACTGGGGTTGGTTCCAGAATTTCTTGCCTCCCATCTGGCCCTGACCCTGCTCTGCTAAGGTGGAAAAAGAGCAGCCTCAGCCACCACAATTGGAGTCTACGTGCTCGTCCCACCCTGCTGGCTCCGAGGGCTGCACCAGCCAACTCAGCACTGCGGGTGCTTCCCAGAGATGCTGGGTACCTGCATCTTGCCCTGCAGTTGACGTTGCAGGGAGCGTGGAGCTGGGGCTTGCCTGGGGAGGGGGCCAGACCCGGGACTTGGGGCTTGTCTGGGGAACGTGCTCTGTATTTTTTCCTGAATGCTAATAATTTACCTTGTTCTCTGAAGTATTCAATTCAAGGTTTAAAAACCTGAACCTGCCTTAGCACCTGCTGATGGTCTCCTGAGTGGGAACAGGGCTCTCACCAGGGACTGGCCCCCACACTGATTTTTGTGCCGATTTAACTATTTTACTCGGGGAGGTTGGGGGGAGTGTTTCCCCGGTTGAAATAGTTAAATGAGTGTGAGCCCTCGTGTGGGCGCTGTTACACTGGTGTGAAGGTTCCCCTTCCTCTGCAGGACTAGCAGTACCGCTCCAACCTCCTTTGTCTGGGTATAGTTGTGGCCACACTCAGGGAGTTGGCCTGCTCTGTCTTACTGTGAGTGGGGTACAATTTGTATGTGGACAGGGCCTGAGGCTTGGCGCTTTGCTTCTGGCATTTCTGTTCTTCCTTGTGTCTGCAGATCTTATGTGGCCAAACGGCTGTTCTCTCCTAGGCATTGCTCCCACGCTGTGCTGCCTCGCTCCCCTGGGGGACAGATGCCCCCTTTCTACTTCGCAGCATGTGCCCTGTGAGTCTCACTGGAGCTAGCTATTGTTCTCAACCCACTGCCCCTTCTGCAGCGTTTCTGCCTTTGCTTTGTTCAGCCGGAGTGCATCATGCATCTCTTGGAGGATGTGTCCCAGCATGAATACAGTGTGCTTTACAGACCTGTTGCTCTGCATCCACTTTGCTGTTGGCTTGTCAGCTGTTTGGGGTGCACTCCCTGGCTCCCATTTAGTTGCTGCAGCTAGAGTATTCTCTTGCCCAGATACTTTCAAGCTAGTACCAATAGGAAGGGAAGGCCCTGTGACTCCCTGTGCATTGGGCTGTCAGCATTTGCTTTGCCAGTCTCTTAGAGCCCAGCTAGGGTGGGAACCAAGGAACAATTAGCCACCGGAGGATTAAAATGCCATGCAGCCTCCTGGAGCCAGGCAGCAGCAGAGACGGCACTTCATCTTGGCTGGGAGTTTGTGCACTCCTGCAGTTTCTGGGGTGAGGACAGACGAACGTTACCATAGTGCCATTGGCCCCTTGCCCCACTGTGATAAGATGGGAGAAGAGCAGGCTCATCCACCAGAACTGGAGTCTACATGCTCATCCCACCCTGCTGGCTCCATGCTGAGTTGAATGGCACAGTCCTGCCAACAGCCCCCTGGCAGTTCCACCATCTCGTGGAGAGAAGCCAGGCATTGCCAAGCAGCCTGTGGCCAGGTGGACTTGTCAGAGACTTTGAAATAGCAGCCTCTGAATCTGCATCCTGGCCAGGGAGCACTCGCCTGCTCTGTTGTTGAAGGTCTGCTAGGTGAGATGGCCCTGAGCCCCCTGCTGTAATGACCAGCAGCCACAGCACACTGGGGGTCTCACCCTTGACGAGTGCTGCAGAGGCCGCCCGGCAGAGCCAAGGTTGGAGGGAGAGGGCTGCAGGTGGTCCTGGGGAGGTACTCCTAGGCAAGGACTGGCCAGGAAGAAGATTGGACCAAGTGGCAGTAAAGGTTGACTGAGTCAGGGGCTTGGAGTGAGGACTGGTCAGGAAGGGCCTTAATAAGGCAGACAAGAGCTTGTCTTAGATGTGGTAGTGAAAGGGGAGATAGTGGAGGGGCAGAGTGGGTGAGATGGAGTCTGATGAGTCGAGAAATTGATTTTGTAGCCACGTTCTGCATTTGTGTAAGGGGGATGAGGTGAGAGGGGAGGAGACTACCAAGACAGAGTGGATCATAGGACAGTTCAGGGTGATGTTAGTGGTGATGATGGTTTAAATTTAGTTTCTTGCATTTAGAAAGATTCTGCCTGATTGAGAGATTTCCTTCAGCTTAAAATGGGGACAGTTTCCAGTCTCCCACACTGTACTGGGCACTGCCCTCTAGAGATGGCTTTGAGGAGTAACCAATTCCTGCTCCCTGCTATTAAGGACAGTCACTGCCCTGTGCTTATGGCCTCAGCCAATTAACTGCTTTTAGCTAAAGTAGCTGTGTCCTGTCCAATGTCCAGGTTGCAAAGAAGGCTGCTGGAATGGAAGAACCCTTAGGAGAAGGGTTGAGGGAGAGGCCTGTCTCACCTGCCTCCATCCTGATCTATTCTTCCCATGTAACCCTCCTCCCTGTGGCCAGTTCCTGACATGTGGCTCAAGCCAGGAGTGTTTGTAGCCAAATGTGAGACAATGGCAAACCCCTTAATGCAGTGCTGAAGAATAGGTCGTGTGAGCAAGGGGGTGCAAGTTGCTCAGGCTGTGCTTCACCTTGTTCACACCAATCAGTTCACTTAGACGTCACTTCTTGGGCTCAGGCCAAAATTGGTGTGTGAGAGGGGAAGGGAGGGGTGTCCCCCGTTGGCAACAGGTGCTGGCTGCAGTGTGCTAGAGCCCTCATCGTCTCTCCTCAGCCCAGGCCAAATGTCTCCCTTGCTGCCCCAGGGCTGAGAGGGGAGTTTAGTCTGGCTCAGGCCTCTGCTGAGACTGCTGGCTAGCAGGGTAGACTGGTTGACATCTTTGACTCTGCCCCAGGGAATTACTCTCTGTGCCCTCCCATTTCCCCAGGTTGCTAAGCACCCATCAGCTAATAGCTTGGTATCAGCACCCCAGCCATGGGCCAAGCATCTGCTTTCAAGGTCTCTGTGCCCCAGTCCAAGTTCTGAGCTGTCCAGTTTCCCAGCTGTGGGCTACACTAGTCTTCATTCCTGGGGCCTGCACTGTGGCAGGAGAGCAAGGTCACAAGTACAAACCGTACAAGCTATGACTGAACAAGCATCTGCTCCAGCTGTTTGAAAGTCTGCTGCAGGCACTGGTGCTTGGCAGCTGTGAGCAGGGTTCTGTGCCCAATGGAGTTCTCACTGACTGAGTCTGAGTGGGAGCTTGGTGTCTAAGGGATGATGGCGTAGCCTGCACTCTCGGGTGGCTAGGGGTACAAGGCCTATGCGTTGCTGTAAGAGCGGACTACTTCTCCAGCTCCAGGAGGCAGGCAACAGCGCACAAAAGCACAATGGCTGGCTCTATAGCCAATGGGTGATGCTAGATTCAGGGTGCCTACAGCAAACAGCCCCTTTGCCTCAAGAGGGGAGGTGCTCCCTGGGCAGTAATGATCCTTCCAAACTTCTGTTCACTTGGGGCCTCAGTCTGCTGCCAAGGAGGGAGCTGCAGGTTGGACTTGGCCCGTACAGCCCAGCTGGGCTTTAGATGTGCTCTTTATCTGGCTTGGAATGTATGCATCAGATACTCACTCTCCCTTGCTTGGTGCATTCTGCTTTTTGTACATTTCTCTTTAAGGAGTGCCTGAGGCTGTTCCCAAGGGTTCATTGTCCCTTGGCAATACTTGATCAGTACTTGCTGCACTAAACAGAAATCTCCTGTTTTCTTAACCAACATTTTAGGCTCCACATTCTGATCACTTTTACCTTCTCTAAAATACTGTCCATGACATGCTGGTCATAAGTGAGACAGTTGGCTTGATCAGCATGGGTCACTTGTGCATTACAGTTCAAATTCTCACAGGGCTCATGGGCTGGAAATTACCTGTTCGAAAATGAATTTTGAAGTGTCCACATTTTGAGATCATAAACAACTTTCCCTCCACGAGCTGCTGGATTGTGTCTGAGGGTGGGGTGCCCTGGGGCCTGGACAACTTTCTGTGGAATTTACTTTTTTAAAAATTATTCACATTTATATGGCAAAATGTTAATTTTTTGGATAAGAATAAA